TTAAGTACAAAGGTCCGCTGAGCAGCAAAGGTTCGACTTGATCCATCCTGCTCATCCTTTCAGATCCTCTGCTGCTTTCAGGATACACAGAACCACGGTGGTCAGCAGCAACACTGCAGCGATCAGTCCATATCGAACCCACGGGACATTGTCTGGGGCGGCTTTAAGGAGGGAAGGGAGTGATGGATGGAGGGGGCACATTAAAAATGCAACACTATCTCTTTGCATATTGAAATGTCGATAAAGTGAAACCTACCTGTGTCGACTGGAACTTAGGCCAAATTAATAAAGGTTACAATTAGTATTTGTATCTACATCTGTAAACCGTCCCATTAACATGAATCTTGCCATCAAACCACACCTCGGAAAGCATACAAATAAAAGCAGAACGTTTTGTGTGATTCTCATGCTAACCTTCGTTTGGGCCTGATGTTTGCGTCTCCTCAATGGCTTCCATTGGCTGCAACACTGTCGTGACTTTAAAGACATCAGACAAACATAAAAAGACGGAATAAGAATGATGATAAATTGCCCTAAGGTTAACGTTTAGCATCTTTCAGCTAATTGTTTCAGTTTTATCGACAATTGCGCTGATTATTAAGGTCTAAGTATGTTTCTAAAATATACATAACTAACTGAGAAGGGTTTACCTTCAATTGGCTGTGTAGAATCTTCCAGAAGACATGTATAGGATGGGTGACAGTCACTTCTTCTGTCGTAGACACTATCGGCCAGTGTGTTGTACTGACCCAGTCCTCTGTTGTTCCTGTGGTCTCATCAGTGGTAACAACCCATGGGGTATCTGAAAGATTGGCTGTAAGATGGTGCATCATTTTTCTCATAATGACATATATTGTGTAGCTGCAGTGAAAAGAATAAGAAAGAATGTTACCAATATCTGTCGTGTTCGTTTCCACTACCGTCAGTGTGATACTCTCTGGTGTCCCTGGCCTTGCATCATCAGTATCGCTGAAATACCAGAAAAGTGAAAGTTTTTCCATCCTAAAAGACATTTTTAACTTGGAAATGATAGATTTGTTGATTTACGGATCATTTCCTATGCAAAAACGGTAAAAACAACTGATCAACCACACATGTTGCAGTCCCTGACATCTCCTTAACCTATTCAATATTGTGGTAAATAGATGTAACAGATTTAATTTAGCAGATAAAGCACTCCATAGATCTTACCTGGTTTTATACAAACACTGGTATTCTCCACTGTCTGTCATCCTTGTTGGGCTTATATCAAGTTCAAAGGATTCACGAGAGTCGGAAAAATCCTTCTCCTATAGTCATCCATAGACGTCACAGACTGTAAGTGAAAAGAGATGATGCATTATTGCAATAATCCCAAATCCAATGGAATAAGCCCATAAGGAAGGACAAATAAGTAAGCAATTTACCATTATAATGACTTGCGTGTTACAATGGCTTCACATACAAGTCATTTGTCTCAGGTAACAGGTAAAACACACCTGGACATCTATGAAAATGTTCATCTAGGGGCATGCTTTATAGTCCATCGGCAGTGTACAGTACCTCAGGCAGCGACGCTATAGTCAAGCCGTTCCAGGTCCACCAGACTAGCATCTTGTTGGGGGACTGCTTTCTGGACATCGGAATATAGCATGGCAGAGTCGACAAGTCGTCCACCGGCACCGACATGGAGCGCTCAACATGTGGCACTGTGGGAATAGCAGAGAAACAAAAGGATGTGAAGGAGAACACAGATGGCGTCTACACATCCATGACGGTAACCTCTTCTCCCTCTGACTCACGATGGACTGTGAGCCACACTGTTGAAATGGTTTTCCTTCCTTGCCATATGCACTCGTACATATTTGTGTCACTGAGCAAGGCGTAAGAAAGTACGAGCGACCAGTGTCCTTCCCTGCGGAGCTCTTCTGAGGGCAGGTGGAATCGGCCCTGAAAGGAAGTATGAAATGATACAGGGTTAATAGCTCCACAAAGTTATGGTTGATTTCAGATTCTACTTACTTTAAATCTGTCTGCTTGTATTAGCTCCTCTCCCTGCTGAATTGCCACGTCCTCCCCCATCGCCTCCCACCACAGACCCTCCTCCTCCTTCTCCTCCTCCTCCTCCTCCTCCAGGTAGGCTGAGGCATTACAGGGCAAGGTGACCCACTCCCCGTACTCCACCTGAAGGTGATGTATCGGCGTTATGTGCAGGGCTGGATGGAAGGAAGATTGATAACAGTAGCAGAGCGTTACAAGGAAGAAGGTAGAAGAGAGGAAGGAAGGGAATAATGATGAAAAGTTAGATAAGAAAAGGAGACGGCATGAGTGACAGGAACACAAACTGATAGGGATGGAAATAAAGACAGAGAGGTAGGGATGTACGATGAAGAGGAGAGTGATTTTATATTTGAAATCTTTGCAACTGAGCTTCTTTTCCTCTCTAATCGTTCAGGCTTTAAAATGCCATGTCCAAATGTACCTTACGGGTATATTTAAAAATGATGTCATTAGAGATGTGTTTCATTGACGTGATAAAGACTTACCGTCGCAGAGCCGCCCACACTGAAGAAACAGCATCATCACCATCATACTCACAGGCAACATCTTGGACAGTGCTGAAACACAAACGCATCATTAAACTCCGAAAGGCAGATTTTAAAACAACAAGATAAACTTGGAAACCAAACACCTTATTTCTTTTTCAAGCACCTCATAAAGAAGTGTGGCGATTTGTTGCTTTTATGTCAGTTACGCGCTCCAAAACACCTTTCAAATGAAGTTCAATAATGTACAGTCTTTTGGCAATTGTACATTTCTTTGTTGATATAAGTTAAAAGTCATTTATAAAGCACCTTTCTAATATATATTATATTACCATTTAAAGGGGTGTTTGCAATACATGCCAACATTTACCGATTCACACACTGATGACACGGCTGCCATACAAGGTGACACACGCCTCATTATATAATCTGACGCTCACACACACTCGCATACGACATGCAGACCAGAGGAGGCAGGGATCGATCCCAAGAACTTCTGATTAGTAGACGACTCTCTCTACCTCCTGAGCATGCAACAGCAAAGGTCCTTTTCTTAAAAATATTTTTCTACTCATGCAATTACCTCTGGTCCATTTTTCTAAAAGTTAAACAACATTTGAACTGCTACAAAACTAAAGATTTCAGATTAGCATGAATTCTATGCATAATGTTTTGAACTGTTGGCATGAAGCTAACATTTGAGACAGATTTTTGTATCATATTGTCGTGCCATAAAAGGAGGAATTGGAACACCAACATAGAGCTAAAACTCAAATGTGCTCTTACCGGAAAATGTTGACGAGATGAAAGAAGATGAGAGATGTGTGTGTGCTCCTCCGACACCCCTGTGTGTGTACGTGTGTTCTCATGTCACAGCTCGGTGTAGTGTGTGTGTTCTCCTGTTACATGACATTCTTTAAATCTCAATGGCAGCACATGCGTCCTTCCAGTGCTGCGTGAAATCTTAAATCTATATGGCAGGTGATATGCCATTTACTGCAGATTGAAACATTTTAAGGTTAACACACAAATAAGATAACACAAAGTGACAGAAGCAAATAATGTCAATGCACAAAACCAGAAATAACAGATAGGTGAACCCTCATTAGGCCCGGTAAGTTGGGTATACGAGTGACAGAGGTTATGTGTCATATGCACCTGAACAGTGTTTCTGGAATATGACACACACGAGGCCTATGCTTCCACCATATGATGTGAATCATTTCAGGCTCCATGGGACACTTCATACAGAACCATTAAAGATAGTTGTTCCTGTTATTGCAGCCTGTCTGAAAGATGAGCTAATACAAAATATAAATCTTATAATAATTAAACAAATGGACTTGAAAACTCTAGATATATGACTCTGAAATGGACACTATTACATTAACCTTTTCACATTCCTCTGTACTTTTGCATATTTTTGCACAATGCAACCGATGTTATAAAATGCAAAGCTCTTCCACTTTAAATTCTGATATACAGCACATTATTTTCTAAATCATTGTTCCTATTCTTCTGTACTTCCTTTTTGTTACTTGTGAACATGAACTATTTTTTTTAATGTATTTTTTTTTACATTTGTATTGTTATGCTTTTTAATTTATCTGCTCATTTCATTGAACAGATGCTCTTTGTTCAGAATATAACTTTTAGTTTTACATACAGTGTTAGCAAATCACTATAAAGAAAAGAAACAACTAAAATACAAAATGAAATGAAAAGAAAACCAAAATCAAAGCAGTAATATATGGCTCATACAGTTCATTTTTGAATCTATAATAGTTACACATTTTAGTTCTATATTTGCTACTTTACTTAAACTTAATTCCTCTTACCGTGTTTATGTGCGCACCGTCAGCAAATTCCTAATATGTGTACACCTTAAAAACAGCAGCAGCACCCTCTGCTGTTTGCAGAGACGTGTATGAGTTACTCACCAACAATGAAACATTATTATGAAGCACGCATTAGTATAAAAGCATCAGTATAAATGTATACACGGCTGTGGCTAAGTGGATAGTGTGCTGGACTTCGAATCGGGGGCACTAGCAAGTTCGAGTCCCACTGCAGTCAGCATGTCGTTGTGTCCCTGAGACACTTCACCCCAAACTGCTCCTGTGGGGATTGCCCACAGTGCTGAATGTATGTAAGTCGCTTTGGATAAAAGCGTCTAACAGTGACATGTAATGTAATAATTATCAGCTGATAGTATTCTGTTTTACCTGGATGATGTGATCACTGTGTTTTTTTTTTTTCACGCATATTATAAATTAAACCTCTCCTCATTTAACCAGTAGTATCTTCTTTGTGTTGTGTCCTGTGTTTACCTGATGATTAGCAACCACTGGCAAACCTCCTCTTCCTGACCTTCTCTATCCTAACGGTCTCCATCGGCTGCTCAAACATGAGGTTGAAATCCAGCAAGTCCAGCTTGAGTTGACACTGATAACATGAAGATGACAGAGAGACATATGAACTTGAATTGTTTTTTAATTGTAAATCAATAATGTAAATGAAGATGAATGCAGCTGCCGCTGTAATGCGAGACAGCTTCACAAATCAGCCTGAATAAAGATCCTGGAGAGGAAAATATGACACCAACATTGATTAATAAGTAGCTGTAGCCATTGACAATAACTAAAGATAATGTGATCAATTATACACAATAAAAAAATACAAACATGACCTACCAGAATGATGCCGCATTCATGTTATGGGGGAATAACCAACATCCACATCCCTGTGAAGGTCTTGTACACACTTTATTTGAACCTGGCCAGCTTAATCTCACAAACACACAAAATAAGTCATGGTACATTTCAGGTCTTTTTGCAAAACATCACTGAAAAATCTCCCTCCATTGCACTACGATCAAAACATGGTTATACATTTTTTCCTACAGTTCAACACTAATATTTCCTTTAGTTCCATCTTTACTCCTCACAAGCAGTACAGATGACCTGATGGCTAAAGTGAGCAGTGTTTTCCACTAGGAAGTTCATATCTCCCGTCTTTCCCACGGGACGTGAACGCAGCAATGGACACTAAGTTTCCAGTCCGTCTTATGAAATGCTCGTCTACGGGACATGGCGGCACCCTCGGGTCCTGAACCCTTTCTCAAAGCTCAGAGCGTGTTCCGCTCTCCACCGATCGCTTCATGATGAAATGTCTCTTCTCACTGCTCCACTCCGGGCGTGAAGTCGGGGCGCCGTGTCTGGATGATCTTCGGCCGCAGGGGGCGGGGTTTGTCGTCTTGATCACTGTCGTCGGGAGCGGAGCTGTCGCCTCGCTCGTCATCGCAGACGTGGATGACGACACTGGGGGGGTGGGGGTGGCAGTGTGGAGCTCGTACTTGTCCCCTGGGAGAAGAAGTACAGGAGTCATTATGCATGTCATCTTTACAAACCTTAGTTGGCCCAATATAGCACCAGGAGGGTTCCCTATATTCATATTACACATACAAATAATAAGAAACAGAAAGTATAGCATTACTTATACTACGTAAACATTATCATTGATAATTCATTGTTTGTAAACCGTAAAATAACTGAACTCAAGCTATTGTGATAAGGTAAGTGTGTAAGACCTGGTCCCAGCTTGGAGATGGCACACAGCAGGTCGTAGTTGACGACGGGCATGGCATCCTTAGACTGCTCCCAGCCCACCGGGGGGGAGGCAGGGGGCGAGATCAGGAACTGCTTATCCGGCTTGGGGGGCTCCAGCCGAGGACTGCCTATGTGGACAGACTGCAGACACAGAGGCTTGATTAAGGATTTAGATGGACGCGTTTGATATTAAATACTGTATAAAAGAGTGGTGGTTGGTTAGATCCCTACAAAAATGTCTAACAAAACCCATGAGGGATTTACTGTGCTCTGTAGATCAGTGCAGCATGTGCAAGCGATGCATTTTAAGACTACCTGAGCGAAGTAAAGTCTCATCTCTTTGCCCTTGAAGTCGGTCTTGTGGAGTCGCAGTCTGGCCTCAGCTGCAGCCAGAGCATCGCTGAAGCTGATCCTCACTCTGCGGAAAGATTTGAAGTACTGGAACTGCACCTCCGGCTCGAAGGAACGGAACAAGGCCTCAAAGCTGCCCTGCAGACACAGAGAGGGAGAGAGGGTGAGAACAGGAAATACACCATCTCACCCACACATTTCCAAAGACACACACACACTTCTCCCTCAGAGGCTTGGGAGCTCAGTGTGTTCACAACAAGAGAAAATACTGATCTGTTCAGCACACAGCATGAAAATGTCTGCCAACACTATAAAGACAATGTTAAGAGGTTAGCATGCTAATGCTAGCCTGTAATGTATTAATTGTAATTATGTACAGCTGCATACAAGACACAACAAATTATGAATGGAAATAAATGAGCCGTAGTAGACACAAATAGCAATTCCCCGAGTCATCTTTTCCTCCTGCAGTGCAGCAGAGGAGCTCTGACCATGCAGTGAGTCATGATCGAGTCAAAGGAGGAAGGAGCTCAGCTCACTCACACACTTTAAACCCAATATGCTTATGTGGTGATAATCTGCAGGGCCCCTAGAAAAGAAAATCAGCCATGCACAATAGAAGTCCAACCCTACAATCTGCTTACCTAATGTATGGACTGGGCATATGTGCACACACCATGATAACCACATAAACCGCTTAAATTGAAGTGTTTATTAAAAAACCCCTAGTTTGGATTTGGTTCCAAAAAAACTGGATCCGACGTCTCCCATAATGCAAGCCAACAGCCTATTTTCATCACCCTTCCCTGCCTGTTTAATGTAATTCATTTGTAATCACTAAGCCAAGATAACACCAGTGACATCACTGTGACATCTTCAGGGTTGTTTTGTGTTTGTAGAAATCTTTCCCAGAGCCAGATAACACATCAATCTGAAATGGTAATAAGCTGCAGCCTTGTTCAAGCTTGTTCCCCTTTATAGAGAAAAACTGAATGTTTTCTTGGAATCGTTTGGCATTGAAATAGTTGATTGATATCCAAATGTTCATCTCATTTACACAAAAACACAGTTGCTGAATCAAAGAACCAAGTGTGTCTTTCTCTGGAGCGTTAGTATTAAACCTGCTGCTCTCTGTGGCTAATGCTAATGTTTTTGAGCGTAACCATCTGTAGTATTGCATATATTATCTTTCTGCTTAGGGAAAAAAAGGCTTTGACTTTTTGGGATTATTTTACACCGATTACAATGTTCGGTTCAAAGCACAGGATGCAGCAACGGTTTCCTTGCAAAATAGATGTGGAGATCGTGGAAAGGGATTGGAATGGCCAAATCGACGTCGCCAATAGCAGGCTCAGTGTACATCCAGTAATTATCCAAATACATAGAGTGAGTGCCATTCATTTCAAAGACCGTGGTTTGTAAAGGGAACACCTGATGCGGGCTGCTCTCTTACCTGTGCCTCGGGACGGCTGAACACTTCCTGGTTGCTCACCGAGGCGACCAGGCAGAAGCGGTTACACTTGGTGGTCTTGATGTGCATGATGGGGGACCCAGGGAGGTGGAACCTTCTCCACCTGATACCTGAGGTCAGGGCGCAGCGGGACGCCGACACTATCTTCAGGCGTTGTGAAGGCGGCGGCGGTGGCGATGAAGAGGAAGAGGAAGGGGGAGAACGGAGGAGCGTTGCCTTCCCCAGGGTGGCAGAAGAGAAGGAAGGAATAGATGCTCTGTAAGAGGAAACAGCTGCCTCTCACACGTTGATCTTCTTCTGTGGTGGTAAAGCACTCGTTTATGTCCTCCCAGTGCACAGTGTTAGAGATGCAGTAGCCTCATACCCCACATTCCAAGGTTATCTCGTCTGAATCTCCGGAAATACACAATCCAGCATTGTCTTTTCTTCTTCCTGAGTCTTCCTCGATGTGTGTTAGCTCTGCAAAATGAGGAATTTTCCAGAGATTTGGGTGTGGAGAGCCTGTCTCTTCTCAGCTCTCTTTCTCTCCTCTCTGTCCTACTGCTCCACAGCCACTTAAATGAGCTCCAGCCAGGCAATGACGCATTACCCACAATCCCCTCCCTCTCCATGTCCTGGTTCCATTCATTCACTGCAAACCAATCAGCTGTTGTAGAGGGAGGGACCACTTTTTGTTTTTCTCTTCCTATGCCTGTACTGACAGATACTAGCCAATGCTGAATAATCACACAGAAAGAAGGACATTGTGTGTTCACATAGAGATACCGGAAAATAATGACACCACACCGCTTAGCAAACTGACGCATTAATCGGCTTTCTGTTGCATTTGAAAATCCTTTGTCGAATGGAAAATGTGTAACAAAGAGCCTTTCAACTCTTAATTTCACACACACACCAAAGACGTATCAGCTGACCTCTGAGAGCACGGAGCAAGACAGAAAGGAAAAGACTTGTCAGCAGAGTTAATATGGATGAAGCTGAGACAGCTGACAGACAGGAGGGGGATGGCAGATAAAGAGTGGAAGGAGACATAAGAAGAATGCAGGATGGAGGGATGAAGGGATGAACAGGAGGAGGTGGTGCTCATGGAAAGTATGCAGTTTGATAACACGCTTTTATGAGGTATTAATAGCAGAGAGCTTGAAGTGGGGGGGAGTGTGTGTGCAGCCGGCAGTTGGAAAAATAATACCAGGCTGTGCAGACACGAAGGTGTGTGCGTGTGTGTGAGTACTTAAACAGAAGAGGTTCACACAGCAGAGAAGAATTGTTGTTATGCTGGATTTAACACAAGAGAACCCCATATTAAATGTAAAGAAGCATACAAGAAGAATAAAAAAGGAAGCAGCATATTAGAAAAAGACCCAGTAAACACACCATAGCAACACCTTATTTTTTCCTTATTACATTACATTGCATTTAGCTGACGCTTTTATCCAAAGCGACTTACAATAAGTGCATTCGACCAAGAATCCATCACTACACTAATTATCCTTGACCTCTCTGCAGCCTTTGACACCATCTCCCATAATATCCTCCTCACCCGCCTGTCTGAACTCCTTGGCCTTACTGACACCGCCCTCTCCTTCTTCCACTCATACCTCTCGGACCGGACACAGTTTGTCACACACGCTGGCTGCAGCTCCCCCTGTGCCTCTGTCAACCATGGAGTCCCCCAAGGCTCGGTGCTCGGTCCCCTTCTATTCACAATATACATCCTTCCTTCCAAAACCCTGAACAGGCTCCAGTACATACAGAACTCAGCTGCCAGGGTTCTCACACGCACCAAGCCCTGGCAGCACATCACCCCCACTTTCTTCAACCTCCACTGGCTCCCGGTCAAGTCCTGCATCACGTACAAAGTCCTCCTCCTCACCTACAAATCCCTCCATGCCCTCTCCCCTCAGTACCTCACAGATCTCCTCCACCCATACATCCCGTCCCGCACCCTTCGATCCTCAGACTCTGGCCTGCTCTCCATTCCCCATTCACGCCTCCGCACCTTCGGGGACCGTGCCTTCAGTCTCGCTGCCCCCACCCTCTGGAACTCCCTCCCTGCAGAAATCCGCAACGCCCCTTCTCTCAACATCTTCAAATCAAGCCTTAAAACTCATCTGTTCAACATCGCCTTCCAACAATAACTCACTCCTCCCCCCCCCCCCCTACTTACACTTCCATTTCTGCCCCCTGTTTTATGTTTATGTTTGTATTATGTTTTATGTCTTGTCCTTGTATGTTTCTTTGTAAAGCGACCTTGAGGTTATGAAAGGCGCTATATAAATTCAAGTTATTATTATTATTATTAAGAAGATACAAACTTGAAGTAAACAGAATCATATAAGTACATCAGGTTTCATAGAGCCAAAACATTTCAAGTGCTACTCAACTAGATTTAGATAAGCCAGTCCTTTGTTAGTATATAGTGCTTTGTTAGTCATTCTATTGCTCGAAGTGGAGTCGAAAGAGATGAGTTTTCAGTTTGCGCCGGAAGGTGTGCAAGCTTTCTGCTGTCCTGATTTCAATGGGGAGCTCATTCCACCATTTTGGAGCCAGGATAGCAAACCCACGTGTTTTTGCTGATGGGAATTTGGGTCCTCCTCGCAGTGCGGGTGCAGCGAGCTGTTTGGCTGACGCAGAGTGGAGTGCACGTGCTGGGGTGTATGTATTTAACCATGTCCTGGATGTAGGAAGGGCCAGATCCATTTGCAGCATGGTACGCTAGTACCAGTGTCTTGAAGTGGATTCTAGCAATTAATGGAACCCAGTGAAGGGAGCGGCGGAGCGGAGTGGTGTGGGAACATTTTGGAAGGTTGAAGACCAGACGAGCCACTGCATTCTGGATGAGCTGCAAAGGTCGGATGGCACATGCACTGCAGGTAGACCAGCCAGGAGGGAGTTGCAGTAGTCTAGGCGTGAGATGACGAGAGCCTGGACCAGAACCTGAGTCGCTTTCTGAGTCAGCTGGGGACGTATCTTCCTGATGTTGTAAAGCGTGTATCTGCAGTAACGGGTTGTAGCAGCAATGTTTGCAGTGAAGGACAGGTTGTTATCTAGGGTCACACCCAGATTCCTTGCAGTCTGAGTCGGGGAAACAACAGAGGTGCAGATGTTGATTGTTAGGTCAAGAGTGGGACAATCTTTTCCCGGGAGGAAGAGCAGCTCAGTCTTGTCAAGGTTGAGCTTGAGGTGGTGAGCAGACATCCACTGAGAGATGTCAGCTAGACAAGCAGAGATGCGTGCGACGACCTGGGTCTCTGAGCGGGGAAAGGACAGAATTAATTGGGTGTCGTCAGCGTAGCAGTGGTAAGAAAAACCATGCGGGCTAATGACTGATCCGAGCGAGTTTGTGTACAGAGAGAAGAGGAGGGGACCAAGAACAGAGCCTTGAGGGACCCCCGTAGTTAATTGACAAGGGTTGGACTCGGACCCTCTCCAAGTCACCCTGTAGGTACGGTCTTTCAGGTATGAGGTGAGGAGGGAAAGTGCAGAGCCTGAAACTCCAAGTTCTTGGAGCGTGCGAAGGAGGATCTGATGATTCACCGTGTCGAATGCGGCAGACAGGTCCAACAGGATGATGACAGAGGAGAGGGATGCTGCTTATAATGCTACAAGGTGACAAAATAATCCCCATTGAAAATATGCTAGTTAGCTTTAGCTGCTAGCATTCTTTGGGAAGCCTAGTCCTGTTTGGCTGAATAACGGCGCTAACATTAGCACCGGTTCCATTAAATTACATTACGATTTTCAATACAGTAGAAATGAACAAACTCATCCGATATCCACTAAATTAAGGAGGCTTTATCCAGCATTACAAATGGATATAAGTAGGGATGCACGATATTGGTTTTTTGAAACCGATACCGATACCGATAACTTCCTGCTTCTCAAGACCGATACCAACAAAAAATTAACGGCACTAATTATTTTAACGCGATTAACGCATGTGTATTTTTTTTCCTCGGCCGCCCCGTAGTTTCAGAGCGCATCGAGTTTAAAATACCATCTACAAGCTGATGCTGACAGCCCCGCTCCTGCCGCCCGCTTGTGGCAGACCACACTTCCACGCTCACCGGCAGGCACCGACTGACACCGATAATTATCGGTCCGATAATTATCGTGCATCCCTAGATATAAGTGATATCAATAAGACTTGAAAGGATTGACTGCATACGTGTGTTTGTCACAGATCAGATCATCCAAATATTAAAAAATCAAATGGAAAAATCCAAATGGTTTTTAGTTAAGGTAGCCCTTGCAATGCTTACTTCCAGGTTGGCGTACAAAAAAACATCACCACTCTTTAGCTTTACATATCCCCCAGGTTCCACACTGTGATAACTCAACCAAACCTCACTGAGAACATAGCTTTTAAAAACAGGCCTCAGTATGCTCTCAGTCCTGTGTTACCCATAGTGCATCTGCAACACCACGGCTGCTGCTCGTAACCCTTAGCCTAGCATGTCCACATACTGTACATGATGTGTGGCTGGCTGAGTGCAGGTGTTAATGCACGCTGGAATGACTAATAGCACAGCGCCGTGTGTGCAGGATGGAAAATGAAGCGCTGTGCCTCCCGACAGTGAAGCCGGTGCGTTGTGTAAGTGTTGTTTGTTGATGTTAAACATTACCGTGAGTATGTGTGTGTAGGTGCTAATCATCTCCAGACCTCACCCTGCTGCGGCCGCTATCCGAGCGTGTGAGTGTGTGAGGGCTCAGCCCACATTTTTTCCATCACTATGTTTTTGTTTCATCCTGCCATTTTTTCCATTCCCTCACTAGAGAGATACACACAGACAGACAGGTGCACACAAGAACAACACACACTGGACGCTGCTAGCCAGCTGCTGCATTTTTATTGCATCTTGATCATCTTTCCTATGCTCAATTGAAAGTTGTATTGTTTCCACTAACAACTGATACCTGAAAGCTGATACAGTGTGTATTAGAGCCTGACACACACTAGGCCATTTGAGTTTTATAATATCTGATAAGAAGACTTGAATCCCCTTTTAACCAGATTTCACTCTCCTTTCTATCACCCTCAACAATGAGTACATATTGTACTAATTCTGCTCAAAAATCTACTTAAAAAACCCAAAGCCTATCTTGTTTTGGCAAAGCCCCCTCAGTTTCCATTTCCTTAACCACTCACAGAAACACTCTTTGTGCTTTTAGGTGGATTCCAGTTCCTTCAAGCCAAAGTCCAATGACACATCCCACATTTGTTCACCTCCAGTTCTACATCAAAAAACCCACTTTGAGCCCGAGGGGCATCAGGTAACGAAAGCCACACTGCTCTGTTTACATGTGGCTTTAACAAAATTCCATATGTGAACAGGAAAAAATGGCCTGGAGCATGATGACACATCTGTCCCTTTTCCAGCTCTATCTTAACTTTCGGAATAACAACAGTATATGTCTCAGTCTTCCATTGAGTTACTCTGAGTCATGTCCAACAAAACAAATCGTTCACATTTTCCATCTGGCCTAAAACTTGTTTGTCTGATGCAGTTTCAGGTTAGTGTTCGTCCATCAAGTCCAACCTGCTTATCTGCTAGTGTAGGACAAGTGATGCTAATCACTGCAGGGAAATAGGACCACACATTTGATTATTCGAGTCATTTTGCATACACCACAGCTGAGTGTGTTTAGCTGGAATTACTTTCCAGATCCACATCAGTTTTCCTTGACCGACATCTGTTCTTCAATTCTAGTCCAAGTTTGGCTAATAACAAGAATACACACAAACAAAACAAAAGGTCACACAAGGTGTCATCAAATCTGTACATTATTCCCCATTTATAAAGTGTTGCCTCACTGTTCAAAAGACAAACCAACTAAATATTCAATTAAATTAGAAAACACACCCAACTATTCCTTCCTTCTTGCTTAAAATAAGGTTAATGCACTAAATATGACTTGTTCCTTAACAATGGAGGGTTTATTACACTTTCATACACCCTTCCTGGAACCTCCTGTCACAGGATACATCAGCTGACCGTGCCCAGTGGAAAGCAGCAGGATCATGGAAGAAAGGGAAGCAGGGAAATACAAATATTTTTCTCAAAGGATGCCCTTTGACCCCTTTTCCATCAGCAGACTCTCATAGCCCAGCACAAAACACTGGCTCATCTGACTGCCCAGTGTGTGTGTGTGTGTGTGTATGTGCGTGTGCGTGTGCGTGTGTGTGTGCGTGTGAATCAGCAGTTGGTTGTGTTAGTGCTGACAGTAACACCCTGAACATTATAGCAGCTTTTCTTTGGAAATGCACTGCAGTTAAAGATTAAAGATACAAAGGTAGATTAGTCATATATGTTACTACAGGTAGGGTAGGAGAAGGTACAAACATGAGATAGTATAGAGGACATGTCTTGAAGAATTTACTGCAGCTATTCCAACGTTATAAATAGATACAAATTAGTGATCATCTCATAAAAACTGGATCAAATACTTTGAGAGAGCCATTCTGCATAATGGGTACTTTTGATATTTTAAGTACATTTGACTCATTCCTGCACTTCTCTTGGCCTGTTGCAATATGTTATTGAAATAGTACATTTTGATGCTGATACATTTGTACTTTTACTCAAGTAAATTCAGGATGATTACTTGTAAGTGGCTCGTTGGTATAGGGGTATGCTTCTCGCTTCGGGTGCGGGAGGTCCCGGGTTCAAATCCCGGACGAGCCCTTACTTTGAGAATCTCTACTTAACTAAAACACATATTTCTACGTGTACATCTGTGTTGAAAAAATGGAGTGTTACCTAAACTGCAGAACTGTTGTGAAAAGTCATGCAACACCCAAACTGAGGGCATGTGTAAATATGTAATAAGTACTACTGATGTACTTTGAAATACACGAGTCTCCAAGCTTGATTAATTATTATAGGGGGGCTGTGGCTCAGTGGGTAGTGTGCTGCACTTCGAAACAGGGGATAGCAAGTTCGAGTCCCACTGTTATCAGCATGTCGTTGTGTCCCTGGGACACTTCACCCCAAATTGCTCCTGTGGGGATTGTCCACAGTATTGAGTATGTAAGTCGCTTTGGATAAAAGCGTCTAACAAATTACATGTAATGGCGTACTTAATGTTGCATTGTTGGAGGAGACTTGGACTTAAGATGTTCCTTGCATAACTACACTGTAGCTACTGTGCATTATGACAATAATAAGCCTTTGTATATTTAAGACAATTTCATATTTACCTTTACTTAACTACAGCTTTGAGTACTTTATCTACCTCTGCATAAAGCAGGTTGGGCTTACCTTCAGTGTGTCTTCTTTGAACAGATCCTCCGGTACTTTGCAGGCGATCAGGGCGTTGGGTAGATCCGTAAACTTGACATCTACCGTCGCCTCTTCAGTGGCTGGCCGCTGCATCCTGATTACTGTCCTCTGCACACACAGCACCGAAAGCTTTAAATATAAATAATAAAGACAAGGCTCGGCTAACGCCCACAGGCCGCGTATTAGCTGACGTTGAGGCTAACACAAGGATGCATTTAATGTCATGCGTACTACTAAAGCCGTAGTCGTTATTTCATGTAAATAGTGAGATGTTGAAGCTCACCAGAGCTGCCTTTCTTCCGTGTAACGTTATTAGCTTACACTACGCTGGCTAGCTGCTTATGCTAACCAGGAAACTACAATAATGCCGCCGAAAAAGCGAAACACACGATATTCCTTGAATATTTTCTCTCACTTAAGTCTAGGTGAAGGTGGTCGTTGGGAAGGTGGTATTGTCTTAGACTAAAACAGCCAAATATTGTCTACTTTTAACTGAAAATAGTCCCCCCGAATCCATTTGTTAGCATCTAGCAAAGGATAAAGGAGATGACGTTATTCTTCTTCTTCTTTCCAGCAAACTAGGCACAAGTATAGTACATGTCTGCCCCCTAGCGGTGTAAACGTCATTTAAAAAGTGAAATCCCCTGTCACCAATAATGTTCTAGGGATTAAACTAACATTTAAAAAACTTCATCCTCAAAAACAATAACATTACAAATATAAAACAACAAGAAACTACAACAAAAGTACCTTTTTGCTTAGTTTGTTTTATCTGGGAGTCACTGAAGTTATATTGAAAACAAGCATGTGCAAAACTGTAAGTGAAAACCAAGGAAAAAAACATACAAATGTTTCCCTTCCACAAATGTTAAAATATATAAGGATAATACCAACAAAAATAAGTAATGTTATGTTTTGTGATTCATTCTGGATGGCATGTGAGAAGCAGCATGGTGCCATATTGTGTCACCGATGTAACAATTTAAAAGCTTACACGATGACTTTCAAAATAAGTGTAGAAATATAATTAAACACTTTAAATGTTACACAAGGCTGAAACTGTATGTGTTTTTTACATATTAGTGATATTTGTGTGTGTTTGAGGAACTTAACTACTTGCGCTAGTACCTGAGTGGCAACAGGGTTTAAGCTCCAGGTCATGTGGGGATCAGCCACCACTTAATCCTCTGGAGAGAGAGAAACTGTGAGAGGGAGGGAGTGATAGAGAAAGAGAAAGGGAGGAAGAGAGAGGGGTGAGAAAGAGAGCGGTAGATTGTATTAATTGATGTCTAACTGCGCTCAAGACTGCAGAGTACTGCAGAGTACCAAAGCCACAAAGGGTGAAAGGATTGTACCACGAACCTCTACGCCTGGATAGACTTAATATCTGTGGGATTAAAATATCTAAATCTGGATTTTCTTTCCTTTGCCTGGAAGTTTGGAACTAGGAAGTCTATTGGTCTTTTACGATTGCATGCGGGTTTCCGATCATTTCCGGACCTCTCAAACCTGGACTCATCCGGAAATAATCCTACAAATTGCAAATTGGAATCCATTTCAGGAAGGTTCTATTTTACAATATTTTTTTTTCTACTGTCTTTGGACATCACAAACACTGTTGGTTGTTTTTCTTGAATTCTGGGTTTATTTTCGCTATTTTTGGAACCATTTGAAATGGCGTTTTGAAATATACTGGTATGCACTCTTGGACCTAATCTGAAAACTGGAACCATTCTGAAATCTGAGTCTTCGCACCTCCAAAATCAGTTGGTGATTGTTTCTGTTTTTGGGCCCTAATCAAAACCTTGACATTTTGTAGATCCTTACAACAACCGTGGACACTAAGGCTCCAGTTCGTTCGAAGTAAGTGTCCTATCAGTTCTTTAACTTTTCTGATGGCTCAGCCAGGCTCCCTCCCTAACCCAGACCTCTCAAATGGTGCCATTATCCATGGCCCACTAGGGATTTGTTCAGACCTGGATACGCAGAGAGGAAGAGAGGATGAGGAGGGAGAAGGGGAAGATGAGGATGTGGAACTAGCCGAGGAAGTCGGGGAGGATGTTTTAATGATGGCAGAAGCAGAAGAGGGTCAAGACGAAGAAAGAGAGCTGAGTGAAAGGGAGGAATTGAGGATTATCCAAGTGGTCCTGTCACCAAATGAAGAAATACAAGAGGTGGAGGCAGGAGGTGAAAGACAGGAGGAAAATGGGGAAGGAGGCGTGAAAGGAGAGGATGTAGAACGCATAATGATACATGAGCTGACAAGTGAGAAAGAGGCTGAAGGCGAGGAAGAGCATGGGTCAGAAGAAACAGAGGCAGGGAATGAAAATCCATGTCACTTTTCAAAAGTGATACAGGATGAAACAGGCCAAAAGCAGATTATAGATAACAATAAAGAAACAGAAGAAGAAAGTAAAAATGAAGAAAATGAACAAGAAGCAGTGATAGCAAGTTCAGAAACAGAGGTTAGGGAGGATAACACAGATGACGGGGAGAATGGATTAGAAGAACAACAGGAAGTGTCCACAACCGATGATGCAGAGCACGTTCAGGAGTCAGAAGAGGATGCACATGTGTACTGATGACACAGACGAAACAGAAGTTGTTATTCTGCCCACTGATGGAAAAAGCCTTGAGGATGCAACAGCAGTAATCCCTGTTGCTATGGGGATAGTAGAACAAGTCAACCATCAAGATGATCTATACCAAACCTCAACTGATGGCAACTATGGCGTACACTTTGATACAGAGGCCATACATGAAGTCAATCAGACCAACCAGTTAACTAGTGAGGAAGAAGAAGACATTCAAAACACTGATGAAAAGGACAACCCAGCATCTAGGAAACAGGACGTTCAGACCATACATAAAACTGTCACATGGAAACAGGAGGATTATTTAGAGGAAAAGTTTGAGGATGAACAAACCAATGAGATTGAGAAAGATGCAATGTCTACTTCTGATGATGTTCTAGACATACGGGGTGAAGTAAACCAGAAGGAGGACACGTCGGACTTTGCATTTGAACTCTCTGAAGAACAGACAGAAGGAGGGATTGAGGAAAGAACTGTGGTAGGGATCAACGAGAGGGAGGAAGAGGAAAAGCAAGTGCGACAGGTTGGGGTTAATTCTCTAACTGTGATGGATGGGGGAGGACAGAGTGCGGAAGAGGATGGGAAGACAGCTGATAACGCTAATACAGATACAATGGGGGAGGAAGAGCCAGAGGAGAAGTTAATGTACACGTGCAAGAAGAGAAGGTTGTTGAAGTTGAAATGCAGGAACCAGTTCTGCAGTATGTGGAGGAGGTTCCTTTAGACATGCAAGAACATGAAGACATGGATCTGGTGGAAGAGGGCCTTTGAGCTGGAGGAAGAGGGTGAAGTTGAACCTGGTCAGCCAATAGATGAGGTTAAATCAGAAGATAATGAGTCCAAAATCAGAGGTGATATGCAGGAACATCCTTGGCAGCAAGAAAGAGGGGGAGATTTGGAAGAACAATTGAGAGAACAGCCAAGAGGGCAGGCCCTCGTAGAAGACGAAAAGGGAGGAGAAGTTAGAGCAATGAAGGAAGAGATAGATACGGCACAAGAACCTGTGACTGTTTTAGATGATGATATTGAAGAGATAGAGGACGGTCCAAGGAGAGAAGGTGAAGAAGAAGTGCACGCCACAATTCAAGACCCTTCTGAAGACACCATAGCAGAGACCAAGGATGAAGAGTGTCAAGAACTGCAAGGAGAGAATCTTGAACTTAGTAAGGAGAATGATGAGAAACAGAACAATGAAATAGAATATGTAAAGCACGATGAGAAACTAGATGACAGCAGAGATGTAGAAGGAAAGGAAAAGACACAAGATGAATGTAAAGAGGTAGAGAAGGACGAGAAACCACAAGAGGACAACAGAGAGGTAGAGTTGGACATAAATGGAAGAGTTAAAGAACTGAAGCCAGCAATGGAAAATGGGATCTTGTCACCTGAGCTGCAGCTGAAGAATGAAGAATGTGGTATGGCAAAGGTTTCATCACTCAGGAGAAGAGATAATGACTGGATCAAAAAAGTCCAACCAGAGGAAAAGAGTGCCCCAGAAAACGAACTGTGGAGGAAAGAACTGAGGCCTGTGAGAAAGGATGTGTGGGAATCTGAGAGTGGAAAAAAAGAATGGTCGAGGAAAGGAGACATCAGCAGATCTGAAAAGTCCTCCAAGGAAGGAGTGACTGGATAAAGGGAGCTGAAGTCAGTGATCAAAAATGAATCCTTGCCCAAAAGGGGAATGAGCAGTGAAAAAAAAGCGGGGTGTGCTGTTGGAGGATGGACATTCGTACACCCCCAGCGTGAGGAGATGATCGAGGACACGAGGGAGGAAGTGAAACTGAATCTCCCATAAGGAGGGCCGGAGAGCTCCTTTCCCGCTGGGCACAAGAACAACAAAACAACCCCAGGACCAGGATCTACGAGTCGTCCCTTCTATGTTAAGGTAATGTTCCAACACATACTGTACACAGAAGGTAAATCAGACGATACCCTAAGATGGTTCTGACGGATTCTTGGCACCATGAAAATAACCTGCCGCTGTGATATGGTTGCCGTTGGATGCTGTCAGTGCTTACCTTATCTCATTAAGACATCAGGCATGTAGCCTACATTGTCTAACGTGGCTACCAATGGTAAAGGTCAAGTGGACAAATAATAGGGACACACATAATTCATTTAAGAAGAGAATATTCCTTGTTGTGCCCATCACTGATACTGTTACTTTTCCTCACACACAGGCACACCGGTGAGAAGTCCGAACCATTCCTAACTGAGAAGAAAACAAAAGCGGGCAGCCTTCAGACGACCAGCAGAGAGGTTTAATGGAAGGAAAAATGCACTAATAATCTGAGAGCCACTTCAACACACACACAACACACACACACACACACACACACACACACACACACACACACACACACACACACACACACACACACACCACACACACACACCACACCACACACACACACACACAAACAAGCTTGTTCTCTGGTGGGAGCTCACAGTCAAACAACGGCTGCCTTTGTCAGACACTCTTCTGGCAGCGCACACTTGGGGAGATGGAGTGGAAAGATTCGCCGGACGCAAAACACTCATATTTGCCCAATCGGCCAACCAGAAGTCTTCACAAGATTTGTTCAAATGATTACAATACACAAGACTTACTATTATTTCAACTTGTCATTAAGTACAGTATATATGGTGTTGTATGAGTTTCAGGTGACTGAATAATAGTTCAGGTAGCATGCTGGGTTTAATCTCTGCATTCTCACTGTAAGCTGATTAGCCTGCTGTTTGCTGCTGAGGCTCTGAGCACAGTGGAAACAACACATTCTCAGCTTAAACTAAAAAAAATGCATGTCTAATATGTTTATTTAGGCAGGAGGACATGGGGTGACTAATAAAGGGTTAGTTTGTTTTGGATCAGGGTTGAGTCTGTTCCACTCGCTGAGGTGCGCTGATCTGCTGATCCGAGCTGTCTCGTCCACTTACACTCCTTCTTACCCGCCCCTGTTCACATGTCAACAAGCTCTATTGGACTTTTCATGGACCTACTTTCTGTCCCCTCTCTATTGGAGTTATTAGTGAGTGAGAGGGGTGAAGGAGTTTTACTACAACCCTGCTGGTTCCTAGGTCCATGCTCATTACTCCCTATCTCCCTGCAAGGTAGTATATATACAGGTTCCCTATACAGGCTGCAGTTTAGCTTGGAAATCAATGCTTCAATCACAAAAAAGACACCTCTGTGGGTGTGAAAAATATCTTTCCATCTCTACTACAACACACTGCATACATTGTTTGTGTTTGTGATGGAGCAAAGATTCCACCACCTCCCACTCCTCTAAGGAATAAAGGAATTCTGTGCCTCTTAACTTCACACCACTGTCTTTGTGACTTCTTGCTCTAATTGTTGAACACCTGTAGATGGAAAGGTAACCCAATATGGAGTCATGCAGGGAACATGCAAGCATCAGGTCACATGTCTCTATTAAGAGTCAATACATGTGTGGTGTGGGGAGTAAACAAAAACCCTTAACCTCCTCAACCAATGACTAACTTCCTGTCCCTAGATGGCTTTAGTCCTGTATTGTGACTTTGTGAATTACATTTTACCCACACAATGGGAGTAAAACACATTGACTTGAGACAGTGTTCAAACAAAGGGGGATTGTGTGTTGAGGAGACACTGACGTACCAGAGAAATCTGAAAAAATAAGCAGTTGAGGGGCAGCCATCCAGACACACAGACAACATGGTTGTGTTGGAAGATAACCGGAAAGCTCAACGCGGGATTTTACTACATTTGTCCTGCTTGTCCTTGGTAAAAATATGTATTTTAGAGGAGTGTGAGCTTTCATACAATCCTTCAAATGTTCGCCATGTCCTGGTGTGACATTGCAGTTAAAAAATTGGGCTTCCCTACCATTGAGCTGTTTGTAAAGGTAAGTGATGCATGCGTCTGAACAGTCAATGTTGATTATTCATACCGTATCTTTACATGGCTGGGTCTCGTTGGTATCTGTCATTTCCTGAAGCAGATATATGGCTCTTCTCCTGCTAGATCTTTGTTTGTGTAGGCCTACTATGTGTTCCTTTGTGAAGACCTGTAGCCATGATGTACTCTGTTAAATGTATAATATTTGTGTCTTTGTGTAGGCTGGAAGTAATGGGGAGAGCGTTGGTAACTGTCCATTCTCTCAGAGACTCTTTATGATTCCTGTGGCTTAAAGGGGTCATCTTCAACGTCACCACTGTTGACCTCAAACGGTAATACAGTATAAAACACAATTCTTTATTGTTAGTTAGTTAGTTTTTAAGTCTTGTTGTTGGACCTCTTGTGCACACCACGCACTTATGTCTCTCTGGTATCTATTTTATGTCTGTTGTAGGAAGCCGGCGGACCTCAGGACCTCGCTCCAGGAACCAACCCTCCCTTTGTCACCTTCAACGGCGAGGTCAAGGTCGATGTCAACAAGATCGAGGAGTTCCTCGAGGAGAAACTGACCCCACCACGGTACACACAAACACACATCTACAATACAATAAAAAGTGTGCAGGGGTATTCAGCTGACTTCTTGTCTTTTACATCAGCTACCCTCGACTTGCTACCAAACATTCTGAAGCCAACACAGCGGGAATCGATGTGTTCGCCAAATTCTCAGCGTACATTAAAAACACGAGGAAAGACACCAACGATGGTAAGAAGGAGAGACAGAATCTGTGTATGTTTCTCAAAAGTGGCCAGAAACCAAGAACAGAGCTAACTGAGAATTCCTTGGACTATCAGGTGGACTAAAACACAAGCCAGATGAATGATCATGTCCGCTTACTGTCACATCATATCATAGCAATAATATCCTCGGATCTATTTGTCTGCTGTTCTCTCTGTTTGTATCTCTACCTGCAGTCTTAGAGAAAGCCTTGCTGAAGTCCCTCCGGCGTCTTGATGACTTCCTGAGGACTCCTCTGCCTGAGGAGATAGACGCTGACGCCTCAGGAGATGTGCCCGAGTCTTCCAGGAGCTTTCTAGACGGCCCTGAACTCACCCTGGCCGACTGCAACCTGCTGCCTAAACTACACATCCTTAAGGTTCATCCACCTCTGTGGTCATATTCTCCTGCTCTATTGTGCAGGAGTCCTAACCTGGAAATTAGCTTTAGCACATCTGCACCACTCAACTCTAATATTTCGATGCTTCGATGACCAACACGTGTCAACTCACTCCTCTTTGCAGGTCGTAGCCAAGAAATACAGAAGCTTTGAGATTCCAGCGGAGATGACGGGGGTGTGGAGGTACTTAAACTGCGCCTACCAGAGGGAGGAGTTCACCAGCACCTGCCCCGCTGAGAGGGAGATCCACTTTGCCTATCTGGATGTTGCTAAGAAAATCAAATGAGATGAAACAGAGAGGAGAGCTGTATCATGCCTATCTGTAGTACAAGTAGACTAATTGAAGACCCCCAGGGAATAGACTAGGAAGACCTATACAAAACTAGTCAGTCTTTTTAACGTGTAATGCTCTCCATCAGCTTGGATACCTTTTACCTATATGTGTATGTTGTTTCTATGGAGTGTGTGTGTGTGTGTGTGTGTGTGTGTGGTGTGTGTGTGTGTGTGTGTGTGTGTGTGTGTGTGTGTGTGTGTGTGTGTGTGTGCGTGTGTGTGTGTGTGTGTGTGTGTTTCTATGGGCTCTCACAGTTGGGTAACACAGTCATGCTCTTCTTAATGCTTATTATTTACAAATGATGACAAACAGTTGTTTTTTTCAGATGATGACTAAATAAATAGCAGAATGAACAAACATTACTTCAGTATTACTGCATTAGAAACCACTTCAAGTTCATTTTATGTGATCTAACAATCTGGGTTTGGTTAAAAACGAGTCTTTTAATTTCTATCAGCTCATTTCAAATCATGTCAACAATTTATGTGATAATATATCTGGAATTGTATTAGCATCAAATTGTGAATGTATTGGATTCTAGGAGCCAGTGAGGCTGAGGGAACCTTCAAGATGTTCCCTATAGTGTTACCAACACTTTAATACACGTATGTCAAACCAACCATATTATCAGCCTGCTCTGTTCTGGCCTTATATTCTGTCTGGGGACAAACTTTAATAAACTGATTTTATCACTATGTGGATTGCATTCTTCATGTTTTGCATCTAAAGAAATGATATCAGGGCATACACAACTAAATGGAACGCAGTTCAAATTATAATACATAAAGTGACAATCAACAAATATGGCCATTTAAAGTTTAAATAATTGTAGTGTATATTAAACACATACACACACTTCGACGGTGGAGCATGTGCAGACACACACACACTGATCACCGGGGCGACAGTAACATTGACCTCTGTGGAAACCCTCTGAATGTAATGACCGCAGTTTGCACACAGCAAACACACAACGCTCAATGAGCTTAGTTACATCCAGAGGAGGAATGTCCTGACTCCTGTTCATATCGAGGCATCGTCAAGTTAAGTCACAACACAAATAGTGTTATTACAGGGTGAAAAACACAATAATGTCGAGCAAGTTGTGTAAAAACGCACAACCATTTGAAACAAAAAATTCTAAAATGTAATCTTGCCGCTTAGAAATCTCTTTGTTCTTTGGGTGCAATAGTTAAAAAAGATAATAAACACTCCTAGAATCAGTGTGTGATTTATTGTAGAATTAAACTAAAACTCAAGGAAACAGCTGCTTATGGACTTGTCGTAGCTGTCAGTCATTGTCACTACTCACTACCATGATGCAGCAGGTGACCCCAGAGTGTGAGTATAATGAACAACTAAAGAGAGTGTAGTGGTATAAAAATAAAATATCTATCTTTATTGTCACAGTGGGGTTTTGCCATGCTAGAAACAAACTTTATTTAAAATATGGTGCACACATACAACAACAGCGTGTGTCTGTCTTATAAGGGAACGAAAGGGTTAACAGGGTGTTCATGCGCCCGGCTTCAGGCACACATCGTCGTCTTTCATTGGTCAGTCTTGTTAATTAATGAGTGAATGAAAAGGTCCGATGCAAGGATGGCGCCGCTGTGGGGCTTCCCGGTGTCGCGGCAACGGTAGCCTAGCGCTCAGGTCCGAGAAGAGCGAGAGGAGAGGCAGGAGACCAGTGAAGGGATGAAGGGCGGATGAAGCTTGAAGTTTAACATCTTACACTTTTTTTTATTATCAATAAAGCAACCTGTTTTCACTAGGCCACTTCTGCAGGGTCTGAAAGAATAGATTTAGGCCTGCTGCCACCTAGCTTAGCATAAAGACTAAACGCTTAATCCTTTATGCTAAGCTAAACAGCTGAGCCTCCATCCTTTTATTTAACAATAGAGAGAGGTATCAATCTTGCTTTCAACATTTGGCGTTCACTGATACCTTCAGATCTTCCTTATGCTAGTGGGTTCACATGTCATGATGAAGACTACAATCAGCCTTCTGCATGGAAATGTGCATTATCAAACCATCATGGGAGAGTGAGGCAAGGTCTTCAGGTTTTTGTAACTGCCGTATGATTGTAAATGCAGGGGTTGATGGATGGATGGATGGATGGATGGAGACCATCAGTTCTGGGAGCAGTACTTCCAGAAACACACTGTTGGAGACAAAGAAGAAGAAGATTATCATTCTCCAAGATCTACAAAGTTAAAGGCTAATACTGGTGGGTCATTTCAGTCGGCACTTGATTTCTCTGTGTTGCCACCGTGTAATTCATATGTAGTCTGCCCATAATGCAGACAGCAGAACGGAAAGCGTCCTTCACCTCTTTTGTTGGTCTTCTTGGTCTGCGTTGGGAGGGACTTCTTGACATTTCGACCAGTCAGACTGGGGACGAGGACATCCGCACTGGCTCTGGACGCAGTGCTGCTGACTGCTGATGGGGCCACTGTGGTGGGCTTCACCCCTCCCTCAGCAGCAGGGTGCTTCAACAACAGAGAGAAAGAAGAGCAATGATTATTAAAACCAAGAATCATAAACGGCCTTATTCCTTTTGAAATGTAATTGAGAGCAAATATTTCACAGGTACTTACCACTCTATTTTTCCTCCCTGAATGTTTGCCATTTGCTGAAAGGACAAACAAAAACTGCTTTAGTGAAAATGACCCAGATGAAGTGCAGAACAGTGGCTAAATCACTGGTGTATGTGAAGAGACACTAGATAGTCCAAAAGACAAGTATGCATGTATAAAAACAAAAACAAATACAAACAATCCAATCAATGAAATTATTAAATGATATTATAGCTGCATGCAGGGATCCAAATGTAAATGATTATTCTGACCAATGGATACTTCTGTATTGAGTATTATACTAGGACATTCCATGTGTAAAGGGCATTGAAGCTAAAAGCAGATTTCCTGAGCTCAGCGCTAACTCAAGAGGGCTTTAAGTGTTAGCCAATCACTAGAGCGAGTACAACAAGGTCCAGAGGTCCAGTTCATTAATGACGTGATATAAGGTGGCATAACTCCAACGATGGTTTTGTAAAGAAAGAGATGATAATGAGGACAATAAGTATCCCTGAGGCCATGAAGAAATACAGAAAGCATTGGAGGACAGTTCCTGATTTTTAATGGATTGCTGCACAGCCGGTAATATAGACGAATGTGTCATCTGATTAACTTGACAGCCACTTTGAGTTGGGGAAATATGATTATTATAACTGCTAATTAAGACTGGATACTATATCATTTACATATACTGTAGATGTAGGGATGGAGTTTGTTTTTCCATATGTGGGGTTAGAAAAGAGTGCTCTAAGATAAATAGTTTTGAGGTATACCTCTTGGCATGATGGTGATCCTGGAGCTCCGTGTGCTGTTAAACGCCCGGTGCAGCTCGTCCATGGCTGAGATCATCTTCAGCATCTGGCCCCGTTTATCTGGCCCTGCTTGTCTCCGGGCTGCTCCTCAACCCTCCCTTCCCTGACGCCCGCAGTGATGGTCCTTGTCGTGGTTTTGTCAGTTCTCGTTTGTCCCATCCACTCCTGCTGCTTTGGTACTCAGAAGCCAGTGTTTCAGGAACTGGCTAGGATTTGTCTTCTCTGGTACAGCTGATGCATGAGTGAGACTGGGAAGAGTTTTTGCAAAGCCTGGGGAGAAAATCATATATTTGAAGTTTTCCAGATCCAAGTAGGGTTTATATGAAAAGGTTGACTGAGCTCTGATTTGCTTTAATTCTCAGTCTGCCTTTTCGTAGCATACTACCACAGATCCTGCACACACATGACCCTCAAACAGTCCTGAACACAAACACACACACATAGCCTATTTTGGTGGGATACCATTGCTTTTCTGGTTGCTAGCAGAGTTGCTACGGGATCTTCAGCTGTGACATAAGAGTTGTATGAATTGTGTAATGACGTAGGAGGTTTCGCAACACCGCAGCTCATTATCTTAATGTTTAGACTAGTGCTGTCAATGGATTTTATTTTTTTAAAGTTAATTACATGATATGCAGATTATTTAATCGCCATCAATTGGATATCCATATTTCTTTATAAATTTCCGGCAAATAAAGATGTTTCAACCTAAAAGCATCACATATGTGTGTCACACGAGTAAGGCATTGCATCATAATATCAAAAAGATGGATTAGAAATCAATACATTTTTGTATTTCCAATCATTTGATGGCATGGGCCGCCCCTTGCTATCAGATGATTCCTTTATAGACGTGTACATGTAAGGAATTTTAGAAAAAGGTAAAGGAATTCACGGAATGCCTGTCAGCAGGTTGCACTGGACCAATCAAAGCACACCAGTCCTGTTGATTTCTCTTTTTAAGTATTGATTTGAATCTAATTAAGTATTTCCAGTCAATTAAGTTATGTTTTGACCATCATCTGTTTCAGTTTAAACCAAATCTGTTCAAACTACCAAAATCCCTAACCCTAACCCTTTAAGCTGTTCCATCAGCTTCGACAGCTTCCTTACCTCTGTCAGTGGGTGCCGCCTCCACTCCTGTCCCCACAAACACCAGCATCATCATGACCACCTTCATCACAGACACAAGTGCTGAGCTGTTAAGCATGGTTACTGAGCACTGAAGGAATACCTATGTAGCAAGCAACTATAGTCACTATCAGTCAATTGACTTTCTTTTAACTCAGGATTTTGTTCCAAGAAGGTTCTCAAACTGACTTGTTTCTCATTTACTCTTCCAACTTTTTGTTGATGTTGCCGAGGATGTAGACGTCCACTGAGATGATTGGTCTTAGGTTTTGAAAATCAATCAGCTTGTTCTGTTCTGATGCTTTGAGATACTTCGAAATGCCTTGAATTCGGATATACTCAAAAACGTTTTTGGTTGTTCTTAGCTTCTTCTGTTTTTCAACCAGGAGATGGTATTCGTCTAATTTAATTCCAAGTCTTCTCAAAAACGTTACAATAAAAAATCTTTCCGTTTCAAAATCTGTCTGTTCAATCCATGGATGCACCTCTTGAAGAAGGCTTGTCAACAGTTGGTCGGATCCGTTCCTTTTCGAAATGCACCAACCAATCTGGCCTTTATAAACCTGGGGTTCGCTCCTTCATGACGGAGCCACCTAACGCCCCGCCTCTTCCTCATTGATGGATCGGTGACATTGGGTAGTTTGGGCGGCGGGCTTTGTGTGTTAGGAGTCAAACCTATCTTTTTGTTGAATGTGTTGTGTGTGTGTGTTTAGGCTTGTATTTAACGTGTGTGTGTTGTGTGTGTGGCCCTGGCTGTATAAGCAGTGATAAGGTAGTTCTTAATATGTTTGCTCAGGGGCCACAGAGAGAGAATGGCCCTCTGACGCATGAGGGCCTGGAGCCACACTGACTACACTCGCACACACACACAACTCGCAAATACAACATTCAAACACAGAAAACGACATGGCAAACTCATGTACGTACACACTCTCACACACACAATCCTGGGGTCCAGTTTGAACTTGAAGAAAGGGTGGAAGACACACACACAACACACACACACAACACACACACACAGATTGTAAAAGAAGCGTGGGATGCACATCAAAGGGCAAAAGAAAGGCTGAGAAGTCGTGTCCAAATGACAAAAGGCTAACCGAGGGTTTTCTCCCTTTTTTGTGGCGACTAATCCCTCAGACAGGAAGTTGACAGAGTGACGGTAAGACGCCACCACCGCATTAGGAAGGAGCGGGGAACTCTGCCAATCACCACCACAAAGACCCCAAAAAGCCCCAACACCACGTTATGGAGGATGAAAGAAGATGAATGAATTTGGGATAGGTTACAGAGGCCAAAATGGGTGAACTCAGCGAGAAGAAACGATATAAGGTATGTTGTGTGCGCATTTGGGCGTCAGTTGCTGGGCGAAAAGAATCAACTCAAGAACATCCACTCATTACTCTGTGTCTGTCTGCCCTGATGCTAGTGTTGTGTGTGTGTGTGTTGTGGTGTGTGTGTGTGTGGTGTGTGTGTGTGTGTGTGTGTGTGTGTGTGTGTGTGTGGGTGTGGTGTGTGTGTGATGTACATGTGACGGAGATGGGACGGTGAAGTAAAGGACTTTGAGGAAAATAAAGAAGCACCTTCTCTACTTAAAACTCATCCATCTTCTCCCCAGTCTGTGTGTTGCTCTGTTTTTACCCACAATGCTTTGTCTTTGTATTTACCTTTCTGAAAATCTGCTGTTTTCTGGGAATTTTGGTGGATTTACTGTCACAGCTTTCCCGGACGTTGTCTGCTTTCATGGTGTTGGCTGACTTTATGTCTCTCCTGGAGCAACAATACAAGCTGCTCAGTTTAGTGTGAGGTCTTATGCCATATAACAATGGCTTCTTAATGTTTCCCGGAGCTGTACATGATATATATCTGAGAGCAGCAGCAGTAGAGGGCAGTGTTCCTTCATAATTAGTGCCATCTGTAATTCCCCCTGGAGAAATACAGCACAGCCCTCTCCATATTCTTATGTTCAAGCATTGAATTTATATTGCTTACAGTCAATATTCTAAACATTGATCAAATATAAAATATTAAGCAAGTCCTAAAGTATGACATCATGTGGTTTTGAATAAGACACAGCATGTATGTCTTGCTTAGATTCAGATTTGTTATTAATATGTGGAGCATGATATCATTAAAACATTGTTTTAAATCACTCCTGTCTATAATAAACCCTACTAAACAAAGTGGTTTTTTTCACAAACTGAAGAATAATAAATCCAATCCTTTAAACTACAATCTATAAAGCAATGACTGCAAGATAATAAATGATGATCCTAAAAATGGCAAAATTAAAATAACAAAATATTACAAAGAAAAAAAGAAAAATTACGAATAGGAAAACAATTGTTTCTCAAAAGAACAATACAAATATTCACAATATCAATTAATTATGAAGTCAAGATTATAATGACACCAAAATAAAAAAATTTAAATCATTTTTACAAGCTCAAATGTTGAGATATGATATAATATAAATAAAGAGATGAACATCCCTTTGGGGCCAAACTATTATCTTATCTTAGGAGGAATATAATAATCGACTTTTTACTTTTTAAGCAAGAAGATTGATTGCATTGATAAGCTGGAAAAAAAGAGATGAATAACATATTGGTGGTAAGATTTGCATATTTAATGTATAATATAATATAACGTTTTTCATGGCAGTTTTTTACTACATTTTAATTTGTATGTTGATTTTGGATGTGACATGTCTATATGAATGTCAGATTGTGCATGCTTTTCGTGTGTTTCTTTTAATTATGATTGAAATTTCAATTAACTCATCGAATATAGACGCAAATCACAACCGTCTTAATTGATGCCTCCTATAATCTAACAGAGCTGAGAGCGAGTTAAAAAGAGACGGTGGAGAAAAGTGAGAAAAAGAGAGTTAAGGATGGAGGAGTGAGTGACGGAGAGGAAGAGGAGAGGCACCCTGGGGAAAGTGAGGAGGAAGGTCAGAGACGAGGATGAAGAGGAAAGAAGGGGGGGAAAAGAGAAAATGGAGAGGACGAGTGTGTGTGTTTGTGTGTGTGAGTGTGTATGAGAGAGAGGGAGTGATTTGTTTTCAGTGAAAGGTGAGGCCACTTAGCCGAGGCGTAGAGCTACAGCGGAACTCTATTACCATGTGTCAAAGGAAACACGAGAAGGGCACGACCTGTGTGTGTGTGTGTGTGTGGTGTGTGTGTGTGTTGTGTGTGTGTGTGTGTGTGTGTGTGTGGTGTGTGTGTGTGTGTGTGTGTGTGTGTGTGTGTGTGAGTGAGTGTGTGCCTGTTGTGTGTCTGTGCACGTATGTGTGCATGCCCACTATACTGTAAGTAAATGATAGATAACCTATGAGTTACTTATGCTTATGAATGTGTTTTGTGTGTAACCTGTGAGTTTTGCCTGTGTGTGTGTGTGTGTGTGTGTGTGGTGTGTGTGTGTGTGTGTGTGTGTGTGTGTGTGTGTGTGTGTGTGTCTGTCGTGTCTGTGGGTTCAAGATCAGCTGTTTACTGGGTGATCACAGTCACATTATTACTGATAAACATAATAGAAAAATGCAACATAGACAAAATATTCTCTAAACTAGACAGATATTTTGTCTTGTAGAAATGTGTGTCAAATGATCACATCGTAATAGTGACGAAACAACAAAAACATTTACAAAGTCGTTGTAATGTCCGATGTGTAGTAGGAAAGGCACTATGTCAAGTGTTCATGCATTTGCAATACCATTATAAAATAAACTGGGTACTACCACAGTAAATGTATTGGATAAATAAACTTGAATCTTCTATTAAGAAAGTGTGTGTGTGTGTGTGTGTGTGTGTGTGTGTGTGTGTGTGTGTGTGTGTGTGTGTGTGTGTGTGTGTTGGTGTGTGTCTGAAGAAACACTTGTAGGTCTGTAGATTGGAGTTTATGAGGGAGAGAAAGAACGAGACACTATCGTATGTGTGTGTAAGAAAGAAAGAGAGAGCTTGTCACTCTACACCCTCATGGATTCTGTGGCTCACCAGAGGCCAGTGTGGTTCACTTGGGGCTGAAAACACCTCTAACCACACCACTGTGTGTGTGTGTGTGTGTGTGTGTGTGTGTGTGTGTGTGTGTGTTGTGTGTGTTGGTGTGTGTGTGTGTGTGTGTGCGTGTGTGGTGTGTGTTGTGTTGTGTGTGTGTGTGCGTGTGTGTGTGTGTCAAAGCCGCAGGCCGCTGGCCATCCTCTGTGTGTGTAACAATATTTATTTGCGCCTGCACACGTGTTGAGGCTAACGAATCACTCCTTTTGACTTCCCACATATTTGAAACAAAGAAGACACACACACACACACACAGCTGGATCCTTTTATATAACTATCATTGACCCGCCATTGTAAAATACATTTTTTTTAAAAAGCGTCACGATTTGGGGTATACCTTGAAGTAAAGGCCGTAGCAACTCGGGACTAAGACTGTGACCAAAAACCCCCGAATGGAGCATGATTCCCAGTTGATTGGACCCTCCTTTCCAGAGTTATGAAGAGGGGTTTTTGGGGGTGTAAGAGCATGTTTGGGGTGATTTTGGTCCATGTTGATTTCAAATTATTTAAGGAAGAAATCATGGGAAAGAGACATGGTTAAGTTCAGGCACTAGTTTGGAGATGGTGAGAGTTTGTGGGATTAGCGTCAGGGTTAACCTCATTGTGGCGTTAGAGGTGAAGCCGGGTTTCATTATTTTTGTACCATGAACGTTATCAATGTCACAATCACAAGTCACAGTTCATATACAGAATCAGAATCCATCCAGATATTACTTGACAGTGTCCAGTCCAGTAAACGCCTCCTTTACCGGACTGAGCTGTACTTGCTAACATTTGATAAGAGAAGCTGTGTCAGCATTTGGTCCCTTGGTCAACACTCCATTGTGTTTGGAACCAAACAAGAACAAGGAGAGAGAGGTAGGAGGTGGAGGAGGAGGAGGAGGCGATGGGTAGATGGATGTGAAAACAAGTGAGCGGACTGACAGTCGGGGCAGCCATTGATCCTCCTCTCCGCTCCCTCCATCCCATCCCGCTCTCCATCGGCAGAAGACAGATAGTGTTGAGGTGGCCTGTATTGGATTTATGAGTTAATGGCCTTGCCAGGATGAGACAGATGGAGAAATAAGGAAGAGGAGAAAGGGAGAGGGAGGGGAGCAACCTTTGCCTCCCTGATAATACATGTGATTACTACTGCGCGTGTGTGTGCTAATGAAGTAGGAAACATCTCACAGACTTTGAACATTGCTTTATTGTAGATATGTGCACAAACATATACAAGCTATATGTTCACATATATGCAATAACTTCTGTATGTCATAAGCGTATTGAATGGAGAGCAGATATGCAAACAAAGCTCTTTGATGCACAGAAAACAAGGATCAAACCAGAAATGAAATACATGCAGGATTTATTAAACGGACAAGACACAGCTGGGGAGGGCAGAGACACAGGGGAGGCAGGTGAACACACTCAAACAGGAAGTACAAACAGACATGACACAGAGGGTGACACTCTT